ATGTGGAGGGAGGAGGAAAGGAAAAAGTAAAAAGAAGAAAGGGCATCAGTCAGTAAGAAGAGAGAGAGAGAAGATACATATCAATAGTTAAAAACAAATGAGATCAAACAGTACTGGAATTATTTTTATAGCTGGAGTAAACGGCTAGCGTGGTGGTCTGAGAAGAAACTTGTGAGAGGGAGAGTACGGATGCAGTGGAAGGGAAGTTAATTAGAGATTGAGGTGAACTGAGATTTTCAGAACCTGTTAACACATTGGTAATTAGTTTATGTTTGGATCCTCTATACACAATTTTTGTGTGGGCTACTATGATATGTACTTGAAAAGTGCTATTTAAATGAAGCATTTGTCAAACTCATTTTTTCACATAAAAAAGTTATATTTTTTTACACCAGATAAAAGTTGTAATGGAGGAGAGGGAAGATAAGAGGTAAGAGAGACAGGAAGGCAAGAAATGAGAAGCAAGGAGGAATAAAAGGAAAAAGAAAAAAGACAGAAGAGAAAGAAAAAATTGATAATAAAAAATGAAAAAGAACCAATAGCCGAAACCAGTAAGAAAACCCTCCTGTAGTTGCAAGAGCACAAAACTGAATTTTTCTCTGAGTTCAAATTGAAGTCTGAGTTCAATTGCAGGTCTCTAAGCTGTTGTTCTCTCTCCCCCATCCTTTGCTTAATCATCTGCCTGTGAGCATGGTATGCCTGCCAAATCCAACTGTTTCTCTGGGCTAGCCTCTGGTTGCAAGAAGTGCTCTGAGCATAGTTAACTGCAGGCCTTTGTATGTTGAGAGTTGGGAGGATGTAGTGTAATGCACTTAGCACCATGATTCTCACTTGACTTCCACCAAGGACCTCTCACTCTAGCTTTTTTTTTTTGGTTTTTGTCCTGTACCGGGAACTGAACTCACAACCTTGCGCTTGCCAGGCAGGCGCTTTGCCGCTGAGCTAAATCCCCAGCCCCCACTCTAGCTTTTTTCATTACAGTACAAACCCCAAGGTCATCTTTGTGTTTTCCATCCACCAGACTTGTTTAGTGCATTGCTGGGTGCTCTCTCGCCTGGGACCACTCTGCCCATTCACCCACAGTCTTTTTTTCCTGAGAGCTCACTATATAAATTGTAAATTTGGTGCCCTCTCAGTATTGCCATGGAATGGGCAAATAATAGTTCAGGCTCTTGTGCATGATTAAGAAAGAATTGCCAGTCATTCACCTGGTAGTACCTACCAAGCAGCTGCATTCATTGAAGACCATGGGAAATTGTGCTCAGGGCAAGTCTGTGCCAACAAAAGACATAAGGCACAGACAAAAAAGATACCAAGGTGAGAGAAAAGCACTACACAAAGGTCGAAGCACACAAAAGTAGCAAAAACAACAGCATGGATAAATCAGGCTTTCAAAATTTAAAGGCCAGGCACCTCTGCTTAGGTGCCTCCCTCTGAATCTCGAGGTGTGATTGAGAGTAATGACTGACAGGGTTCTGTGCTGAGTTTTCTTAGGGGCTCTCAACTCACATGCTTGTCCCAGAATTCACTCTGATCTTAATTATATTTATAACACGTAGTGCATACTTATGGACCTGTAATGAAGTGATATCCTGTCCAGAGGTAGATGGCAAGCCACTGGGAGGCCCAGCTCCTGGTGCTCCTAAACCCAGCATCTGTAGAAAACTAAAGAAGCAGAGTTCAGAATAAAATAAGACAATTTATTTGACGGTGGGGAAATTGATAAGTGCACGAAAAGACAGACAGCTACTGTAGACAAGTAGGGGATATTTGATTTTTTAATTTTTTTTTTTTTTTTTTTTTGGTTTTGGTTTTTCTCTGGTACCGGGAACCGAACTCACGACCTTGCGCTTGCCAGGCAGGCGCTTTTGCCGCTGAGCTAAATTCCCAGCCCCAAGTAGGGGATATTTGAAAGTGAACTACTCATGGATTTTTTTTTTTCACTGCAGCTTTCTTTTATGTAGCACTATTGTCTCCCTATCCCCCATGTGGGCACCTGAAAATTGTCATTATGTGATTCGCTCTCTTGACAGACTTTGACCATAACCTAAAAATGTCTGCCTGGATTCCTTTTGGCTGTTTGATTTCTTGTCTTTTTGTAATAGCTAAGTGTGTGGGGGCTCATAGAAAAGTAACTTAGAGTTTATGATTAAGTAAAGGTGACATGTCAGTAATACCGTGATGTTAAACTGGGAACATACATACATGAATATATTTGTAGGTGTATATTTTTTATATATTAAACAGGAGTCCTTAGGTGATTGTCCCTTATCTCTTTTTGCATTTTGTCAGGTGGGTAAGGGGGGATGGTTTCTCTGTTCTTTTAAGTTTATAGCTTCCTTCTTGCTTTGTTAGCTCTTTCTGATAAATTTCCATGGTAACTATGTTACCTGGCATCTCTCTCAATCTCTCTCCTTTGTCTTTCTAATTGCTCTAATTGCAGTCTACCTGTAAAAGAAAAAAATCTCTCTTTAGTAAGGTTTTTTAAATTTCTTTAATAAATCTTAATGGGATCCTGTTTCATTTTTTTTCCTGCCTATGACCACATGTCCCTATGTTGGGAGTAGGGTAAAAGTGACCAGAAAGTCAGGCTAGAAGATTCACCACATATATTCTGTCACCTACAACGTTAGAGATCCGGGTTTTTCTTGTTTTATTTTCTACCCATCTTAGAACTATGGAAGCAGGAATAACTGTAGGGTATTGTTTAGAATTAAATGGACAAAAGGGATAGGCTACCTCAGCTGCATTGTTTCTAACTGTACTTCCCAGGGCTCCCTGCCTTCAGCAGTCTCAAGCATAGAGGGTTGGGGTCCCTTCAGTGGGCATCTGCTTGTGTGTTGAAAACTTGCTATATGTCCCACAGGCACCAGCATTCTTGGTATATGAGAAGGAAAGGGTGACTAATTATATCTGCATTGGTCTAGCCTCTCCTTTTCCCCAGGATTCTGCCACTTCCAATTTGCTGCTTGCTTATTCTTCCATATCCCCAGCTGCATTCCTGTCAGTGCTCAGATTCAGATCCTTAATTGAAGTGGCACATTAGTTCCTGAGTGTCCACCATTATTGTGTCCTACAGCATTTTCTGGGCTTTAGTTTCTCCAAAGTCCTGACTTGTGAGTATCTCAGTTACAGTGATCTTCTTCCCAGTGGGGGAAATCAGAGTAACTGTGAGCTTATTCCATCAGCCACGTCATTGTGGAAGTACTGCTTTGTCCAAGTAGCTTGATACTCTTCTCAGGTGCTGTGCACACCAATGTCGGGTATAAGGGGTATTGCAATCCAGAATCAGTTCAACTTCCCCTTCCAAACTCCTCTGCAGCTAGATTTTGGTCCATTTAGTTTCTAGACAGCTCTTTTGTATCTTTCTTATCTCCTGAGTCTCATGGAATGCTGGCCTTCCCTCCCCACCCCTAAGTTCTGTGGGCGCCTAGGGCTCCAGGCACTCAGCATCCCTCCACTAGGGGCTGGGTAGTTATTTTCCCAGTGCCAGTCAGTGAACAGTGGGCAAGATTTCATGCTGTCACTGATCTCCTCAGTGTTCCAGAAAACAATTTTAGAGCATCTACTCAGCATTGGATACAGCCTGTGTCTCCCCAGTTGTGAGTTATTTGTGGTCTATGGCTCACAATGTTGAGCCACTTTGCTGGAGCAGGGGACTTTGCTTACCAACACAGAACAGTGGGAAGTTGACAAGATGCCACAGGGACACAGAGCTCCCTGGTGTTTGGGAGGATGATGGGGCACAGGGATTGCTGGTTTTAGTACTGCTGGCATTGCTTTTCTTCCAGGTATTTCAACCATTCCATTGTGTGGCTCCCTGCGGACTATCTGCAGTTATCTCTGTGTTTCCTCTTCCAGGTGGGAAAGAGAATACGTAGGGAGCTTATCTCAGGAGTCAAGGCTGCAGCACTGGCTTCTTCCCTCAGAATGTTAGAGCCACTCCCAAGATAGTGTGTTTGTAGGGTAAAGATCGTAAAGGTGCTGTGGAACAGTGGCAGTCCTGCTTCTCTTTCTCAATAACCTGGCTACCAGATTTTATCTAGAGGATTTCTCTTTCAGGTTGATTCTCTTTAAATGGGTATATTTGCCTCTCCTGTTTGTTTCATCATGCTATGGTGTCTTGGTTACTTTTCTCTCATTGCTGAGACAAAATACCTGACACCCAGAATTAAGGAAGGAAAGGTTTATTTAGCTCACAGTTTGTGGGGGTTTCAGTCCATACTTGGCTGGCACCAGGGCAGAGTGCACAAGGCAAAGGGCAACCATTCGTGGCTGGGGGAAAACAGCAAAAGCAACAAGAGCAAAAAGGGAGGAGTGGGGCAAATAGCCTCTTTCTCTCCCTTACATATGCAAACTGTCCGCCCCAGGGCGGATGTAGTGCTCACACCCTTGAATCAATCGTAACCTCTAAAAACCCGCTCAATGACTGCAGGAGGATTTGGGGGGACATTGAAACACAAACTATAACATATGGAAAACAGGATACCAGACTTTTTCAGATGGTGTAGGGAACCAAGCATGCACTCTTGGAGAGATGAAAAAAGACTTTATTTGGCTAGCCTGGCTCAGAGAAGCTCATACTTTGTAACTTCTGAGCCCCAGAGACAGTGTTACAAAGGTTCTTTATAGAGTTTTTGGCAGGAAAAAACGAGCTCAGACAAAGACAGTTGTTTATAAAGGACAAGTTTATAACTTTGGCCTGCTGGTCAGCCTCAGTCAGGTAGGGAGTCTAGGACACGGAGATGAGGATGGGTGCTACAAATTAGGAAATGAAGTCCTGCATGGGAGGGGTAAGGAAGAGGAGGAGAAGGGAGGCTGTGGGCTGCCACAAGTTAGATAGCTGTGAAACCACTCTATTAACACATCAAAGTGAAGCCTGGGAAGGAGGAGGGAGCAGAGAATGTGCTTGGCTGAGGCCAGAACCTGCCGCGACCAGACAAGGCAAAGGATTGCACTTTAAAATGAACGTTTTTTTGTTTTTTTTTTTTTTGCTTCAGTCATACCTGGATTATCTGGTGGATGTCCTCTGAACTTCCTTCATGCACTTCTGTCTCTAGTAAGTCATGATCAATTTCTTTATCATTTCTACAGCCAGAACAAAATATATATTCTTAGTCAATTTCAATAATACACGCAACTGTTATTAACTGTAATAACTTTGTTATGCAGTAGATCTCTTCAACTTGTTTTATCTAAGTGGAATTCTGTATCCTTTGAGCATAAATCTCTAACACTCTCTTTTCTACCCACCAACTCCTAGAAACCAACACTGTATCCTCTGCTTCTATGAGTTAATTTTTTTTGTATCCCACCCATTAAGTTAGATCACTTGATATTTGTCTTGTATGCCTGGCATATTTCAGGTAGCATAATGTTCTTCACATTATCTATGTTGTTGCAAATGATAGTACTGCCTACTTCTTAAAAGTTCAATGGTGCTATATTGTGTATATGTATTGTAACAAAGGTAAGCAGCAGAGACCACCAGGCTTGTATGAAGGCAATATGGTGTGGAATTTATTGTGTCTGGGTTCAGGCAAAAAGCATGATTAAGACTGCCTGCCCAAAACAAACAGAAATGTGTTCCTTTTATAGAGATGGAGAGAAGGCAGGGGGCATAAGGTGGGAAGATCTCGATGAACATATATGGTTAAAGTTTTCTGGCAATCCTACATTCCAGTGGCCTGAGTCCTTTGAAGTGTCCTTGTGAATTTTGGGGTGTCTCCAGGACCTGCAAAATTTTTTGTCCTATCTTATCTCCTTTCCTGTGTTTGCTAAGTGCTGAGCTGATTCCCTGCAGAGAGTGGTGTTTCTGCTTGCAAGCAAGCTGGGGGCTGGGAGAGTCAGACCAGATTGGAGACTTACATAACCACATTTTCTTTACCCATTCTTCACCCATTGATGGACACGAGCTGATTCCATATATTGCCTATTGTGAATAATATTGCAATGATACAGAAGTGCAGCTTTCCTTTGACATACCAGTTTGATTTCTTTGACTATATAGACAGTAGTAGGACTCCTGGATTGTCTGATAGTTCTAGTTTTAATTTTTTGAAGAATTTGCTTACTATTTTTCATAATGGCTTTAGTAATTTACATTTCCATCAACAATATATAGGGTTCCCTTTTATTCACATCCTCAAAAACACTTGCTCTCTCTCATCCTTTTGGCAATTATAAAAATTGTGAAATTATATTATTGTTTTAATTTTCACTTCCCTTATAATTAGTGATATTGAACAACTTTTTATATATTGGATAGCAATTTCTATGTCTTCTTTTGAGAAATGACTGCTGAGATTCTTTGCCCTTTTTAATTAAGTTGCTTTTTACTGTTGAGTTCCTTAGATATTTTGCATACTAACTCTTCATCAAGCATATGATTTTCAAATATTTCTTACCCATTCTGTAGATTGTCTCTTTACTCTGCTGTTAATTGTTTCCTTGGCTATGTACAAGATTTTTAGACAGTAAATCCCAGTTGTCTATTTTTCCTTTTGCTCCCTGTATCTTCGTGTCATTTCCAAAAATGGGATTGTTTTCTACATTTCTTTTTCAGAATTCATTGATAGCATACAGAAATATTACTGTTTTTGCACATTGCTTTGGTATGCTGCAAATTGAATGAATTTGTTTATTCGTTCTAACAGTATTTTGGTGGAGTTCTTAGTTTTTTAATATATTTAAGACTGTATTCTGCAAACACAGGCAATATAACTACTTCCATTCCAATTTGGATACTCCTTATTTCATGCTTTGACCTAATTACTTAGACTAAGACATCAATTCTCTGTTAAGTACTAGTAGAGAATATGTATGTGTTGTTTTGGATATTAAAAGACAAGCTTTAAGCTTCTCACTGTTTAATAGCTATGGAATTGTCATGTGTCTTTTATTGTATAGAAGTGCCCTCCAGTACCTAATTCATTAAGAATTTTTTAATCATAAGAAGATACTGAGTAATGTCAAACGCTTTTCTTTTGCATCTAATGAAATATCCCTTTATTCTGCTAATATGGTGTATCACTTTCATAGATTTGCATATGTTAAAGTAACCTTATATACTCAGTTTCATTTGCACATTTTGGATGATCCTTTTAGTGTCTTATTGAGTTCTGTTTGCTACTATTTTGTTGAAGATTTTTGCATCTACGTATATAAGGAGTCTTGGGGTGTAATTTTCTGTTGATGAAGTCGGTGTTTCTGCATTCTGGCTTTGAGTTTAGAGTAATGTTGGTCTTTTAAAAAATGAATCAGGAAGTATTTTTTTTCAATTTTTCATAGATTTTGAGGGTTGTTACTCTTCAAGTATTTGGTAGAATTCAGCAGTGAAGGCACCAGTTCAGCTTTTCCTAATTACTGATCTTTTAGTCTTGTTAGGTTTTATGTGGCTGGAAATTCATTAGATTCTCTTAGGGTTTTCAGTTTGTTGACATTTAATTGCTCTTGCAAATCTCTTATGGTCTGTTTTTCTTCTTGTGCAGGTTCAGCACCCTTAATCTGATATTCTAGAACTCTGAAATGCCCCCTAGTCTGAAACAGTTTGATGCCACAAGTGGAAAATTCCACACCTTACTTCCAACAATGGGTTGCAGTCAAAATTCAGGTGTACTAAAAATAATGTGTAAAATTATCTTCAAATTATGTGTATGAAACTTAAGTGAATTTCTCATTTAGACTTTGGTCCTATTCCTAAGATATCTCATTATGTTTTCAAATACTATATTCCAAAATGAGAAAACTTCCAAAATTCAAAACATTTCTATTTCCAATCCAAGCATTTCAAAAAAAAGGAAACTGGATCTGTATTAACTTTATTTTCATTTTCTATTTATCTCTGCATAACATAATGATTACATTTCTTCTGGGGAAGTGGTACATAATGTTCTTTAATTCTTTTTTTTGTCCCCTATTCCCCTCCTCCCTCTCTTCCCCTTCCTTTTTTCATTTCAAAAAAATCTATTTCCCTTCTTCCTATTATGTTTTATTTATTTATTTATTTATTTTTTGTACTCGCATAAGAGAACCATGTAACAATTTCAACTCATTTTCTGATTTATTTCACTTAACATTATGGTCTCAAGGTGCATCCAGTTTCCTAAATATGACTCAAATTTGTTCTTCATTGCAGGGTAGTACTCCATTTTGAATAAATATCACGTTTCCTTTATGCAAGATCTGTCAGTGGAAGTTCCATCTGTCAGTAAAACCTACTTGGAAGTAGGTTACTTCCAAGATTTAACTATTATGAATTGTGTTGCTATAAATATTGGTATACGTGTCTCACTGTAAGATAATAACATCTTTGACTCTTTCACTAAGATACCTAGAAGATGAAGAGATGTGTCCAATGGAAATTCTAGTTTTAATTTTTGGATTAATCTCCATACTGATGTGTATGATAGCTGTACTAGCTTAAAAGCCTACTAACAATGTAGAAGTTTTCCCTTTGCCCCTAAAATCTCACCAGCATTTGTTATCATCTGATTTCTTGATGATATTTATTCTTTCTGGAAGAAGATAGAATCTAGGTGTTGGTTTAATTTGCATTTCTCTAATGGCCAATGATGCTGAACATCTTTTTCTGTACTTATTGGCCATTTGCACTTCTTTTGAGAAGTGTCTGTTCATTTCAGTTGCCCATTTTTTGATTGGGTCTCTTAGGGGAAATCTAACATTTTTGAATTCCTTAAATATTCTCGATATTAGTACAGTATCTGACAAATAACAGACAATTTTTCCCAATTCTGTAGCTTTTCTTGTCACTCTGTTGTTTCCTTTGCTGTACAGAAGTATTGGATTTGATATGATCCCATTTGTTGATTTTTAGTACAGTACTATTGCTTGTGCCATTGGGATTCTGTTCAAAAATGCCTTTCCTATGCCTATGTATTCCAGAGAAGACGTTTAATCTTCCAGCTGATTGTTTTTGTTTTAATGTTTAGATCGTTAATCTATTTTGATTTTAGTTTAGTACATGGTGAGATATATGAATCTGGAGTCTATTTTTGGTATGTAGATAGTCAATTTTCTCAGCATAATTTAATAAAAATACTATCTTTCCTACAATGTGTTTTTGCCCACTGTGACAAATATAAAATATCTGAATCTGCCTGTGGTTCTTTCTGTATATTCTATTCTATTCCATTGATCCATATATCTCTTTTGCACCCACGTCATGCTGATTTTATCATTATGGCATTGTAATGTAACTTCATATCTGGGATTGGGGGTGCTTCTTCTTTTGTTCTTGTTACCCAGGCTTGCTTTTGTTATTCTGGCTTTCTTCTGGTTCCATATTAATTTTAGGGTTGTTTTCTGTAGTTCTGTAAGGAATGCTGTTGGCATTTTGATTGTGATTGCACTGTATATGTTTATCAGTTTTGGAGTTATGACCATTTTGACTGTATTAGTTTTGCCTATCCAGGCACGGAATATGTTTACATTTTTTGATGTCCCCTTTGATCTCCTTTTACAGATGTCTTATTTACTTTTCTCTTGCTGCTGAGACAAAATTCCTGACACCCAGAGTTAAAAGAGGAAAAATTTATTCAGCATACACTTTATAGGGGTTTCACTCCCTAGTTGGTAGGCTCCAACGCAGAGTGGCACATGGCAGAGTGGTATCTCAGAGTAAGGTCATGCAATATTTCATTGCATACAGAAGACAACAAAGGCAAAAAGGGAATTTAACGGCATCTTTCTGCCCATTTTAACTTATCCAGACTGCATAATCAATTCCAGTATAACACACTCTAGATATACCCACATCTGAAAAAAACCCACCTATGACCACATGAGGCTTTGAGGGGGCATCTATACATAAACCATAAAATTCCACCCCTCTACCCCAAGATTCACATACATCTCTTTATGCAAAAGACATCTAGTACATCTCCAAGAGTTGCCAAAGTCCTAACAGTTTCATCATTGCTGAAAAGTGTAAGCCCAAAGTCTCCTCTGAGATTTAAAGCAAATTCTTAGCTGTAAACCTCTGAAAAGAAAGACTTCCAACACTCAGTGGTACAAGATAGATATTTCCATGCCAAAAGT